TGTCCAGTTGGGATGGTGCCACCAAAGCCAGTTATTTAAAATTTTTCCTAACAATAACGAAATAGCTTTTGCATCTAAACCTAACCACATGTTAACCACAATGTTCTTTAGACACAAAGAGAGGTAAAGTTAAATAACGTTTTAATGGAATATATCTGTGGTTTGCAGAAACATACAAAGCCAACATTTATTCTGGCGACTGGATGAATACATAAATATAATGAACTGGTCAAGTGAGCAGATCATGGCCAGTAGATCAAGACATTGTCCATCGTGGCCTCATTGAATTGCTTCTCTAAACTGCCCATAAGTTAAGAGGCAGACAGCTGGAGCTAAATGATCAAATTAAAACAAAAATTAAACATCTGGTACTCAAATCTGTTTTACATTTAGGAGAAATGTAAAACATGAATCACTTATTTTTTAGTTTTTAAAAAGTGAATAAACCAAAATGTCCATACACATGCTAGAGTTAGGTCAGCTGAGCTCTGCAACACAGTGGAACACAAACAGTTTGGCTAATCTCTCTTTTATGTGCCTTATTTGAATATAGCATGAGATATATAACAAACCTCAGTGCATTTTATTTTACATTATTTTCCTTCTTGCCGGTCCCAACATTTCCATGCCTGTCTAAGTATTCAAATCATCCACCTTCCCTTTTCAGTGGGTTATTTCCTTAACGCAGGGAAGCCACAGAAGGCAACAGATACAGCAGAGGAACAAATGACTGCTTTCAGATAAAAGTCTGTTTTTAAACTGACCTTCCTCACTCTGGTTGTTCTGCTGAGGGCTCACTGATGCAACAATTACAACGCTGACTTGTTAAAAAAAACAGGAACACATTTGTTAAGTTTTTGAATACCTGCAAGACTTAAAACTTTCCATGGAGGGCTTGAAAGTGAACTTTTGGCACACCAGCCGATGTGGATATTTTCAGAATGTAACCTGAACTTCCTAAAAAGTTTTTTTTTTTTTTTTTTTTTTAAGGGATACTTTGTCGATTGTCGACCAGCTTTGTATGATAACAGTGTGGGTAGTATGTGCAAATGAACTATGGTTCAAGTAGTCTCGCTCACCAGACCTTTCTCAAGAAAAGAAAGGTCTGGCTGGGCCGACTCTCACTTTGAGATTGGAGAAAAAACGCCCCAGTTGCTTGTATTTCTTTCAACCAATCACAGTTGTTCTGGGTGGTGCCACCGGAACGGTGCGCTTGCAAAAATATTGCCGGGGGGAAACAGGTTTTGGTGTAACACGCCCACAAAAATATCGCCTACAGGACGCGAACCATGGCAGAAAAATGGCTACATCCCTGCAAGATCAAACACTGCAAAAGTTAGTAAAGGACGTGTTGAAAACTGCAACTGGAGGTGGTAGGGCGGGACTTCAGCGGGTGGCTCGTTCCGCCCAATGAGAGGCTGATCTATGCAGCGAACTTCCGCCCACTCAGACTATGGTTAAAGCAACTGTGCGGAACCTTACGTTTTTGTTGATTATAGTGCCCCCCTTTGGTCAAAGCGGTATGACACCCACAGCCTGGTGTCGTAAAATCTCGACTGCAACCGGCAATTACCACATGCATTTGTTTTGGAGAGCGAGAGGAAAATCATAAATGTTCTGGTGTAGCACTGAATTTGTTATAAACTGAGGACAACTGCCTGCTGTATATTTGTGTTCATGGTCACAGTCACAGATAATTTTGTGGTGTTTGTTGTAACGTTACTAGACAAAAGCGGTTCACATCAGCTAACGTTACATTTAGCTTGCTCATAACTTCCATGTCGTCATATATTGAAGTGAAACAACGTCTAACAAGTTGCGGTGTAGTCTCTAAATAAAAACAGAAATGACATACCTGTCGATTAGGAAAAGGGCCAACTCGGGATCAGTTTTAAAACCTTTCAAATCTCTCAGCTCTCTCCACTTGGTGAATGCCCGACCGAGGTTTACATGCGTTTGGGCTCGAGCCCTATCACTGTCCTGTTTAGCCTTCTTCCGTTCTTCTGTTCTTTTTCTTTTAGATGGTGCTCCTTCTTTATCCGCCATGACATCGAAAGTACAACCAAGTCCTTATAGACACATCTGGTAAAACTGTTAGGTGTTCAGCAATGCCCGTTGCTCACCGCTTACTCGGAGAACACTCTCTGTAAACACGGCTCTTCTTCTTCTCTCAATTTATTGGCGGATCGCAAACAACTTCCAGGTGCATACCACCACCTACTGTACAAGAGACTACTCCCTACCACATGTCATTTAGCCTGTTTCTTAAGTCCTACTCGTAAACACGTTTCCTTCTTCTTCTGTGGTTTAATGGCTGCGGGCCGCTGCAGGCGTGCAGACTTACTTCCGCCTCCGGGTGCCGTATTCTGGTTTGCTGACTTCCGCTGTGTCCGACCCGAGCCAGGCTACGCTAAATAGCCATATAGAGATAGGCTTTTTTGTTGCTGTTGGGTTCAAATAAATATGCGGATCTTCAAGGGGAAGTGATACGAACTAGGGACAGTTTTATGAATGGCAAAAAGTTCCGCACAGCTGCTTTAACTTCCCTCCATCTTACCAGCGTCCAGATCTCCCTGCTCATCTCTCAGCTCATGTTGCTGGCTCTTGGGCTGTTGCTTGAGCTACAGATTGAATCATGCTGTTTCCTGTTTTGAGAAAACTGTGGCTGCAAATACTGAGATCAAACAGTAAAACTAAGCAGAATATAAATAAACCAAGATTAAGTCACTGAATTGCCTCAAATGTTTTCAGAAACATATTGTAGTGCACTGTTTACCTGTAATTTGAGAATTACAGTAAAACTAAGCAGAATATAAATAAACCAAGATTAAGTCACTGAGTTGCCTCAAATGTTTTCAGAAACATATTGTAGTGCACTGTTTACCTGTAATTTGAGAACCCTCATTACCAGCTGGCCACCGTATTGTTTCCGGTGGGAAAACTCGCAATGCATCACCCACCAGCGGGAGCATTTATCGGTCTGCTGTGGTGCAGTGCATTCTGGTAGTTGTAGATTTTCTACCTCTTGAGCAAAAGCAAATGCCACAGCCCTTTTTCTCTTTGTTTTCTCTGGTCAGGTTGCACCAACACAGCCCAGTTTTATGAAAAGACCATCTGTTCAGCAGTGAAATACTTCTGTGTGAAATAACTTTCAATGGCCGCCTGTTAGAATATGAAGTTTCTTATGTGCAAATTAAAATTGTGGCCTCACAAATGTTAACATAAAACTACAAATCCCACAGGGAAAAGTATTGTAATGTATGGGGAGACAATGCACTGAAACTTCACATAGTACAACACAGGGAGTGTCTAAAAAAATGACTGTGATAACATAGAACAAATGATACAATAGAGAGTGATATAATCAAGCAGCAACCACCACATACATGTCAGCAGCATTTTATAAAGAATAACAATGGCATAACATGGCAAAAACAAGCATTTACTATCCCTGCTTGGAGGGTAAGGACTACCCAGACCTCATTGTTCTCCTAATTTACAGACATTTTTAGAGTAGGTATAACTGCAGCTGGAGCAGCTACATGACCCGCCTTCTTGCTACATGACTTGCCCACCATTCCTACACATCAGAGGTGGAGGTCCCTGCATATTGTTCCAAGCGGATATTCCAAACTACTGGATGGCAGAAAACTTAGGACACATTCACACTGGCGCTATTTGGTCCGCTTTAAATGAACCCTGGTCCGCTTCCACAGATAGTTTGGTTTGTTTGGAGTGGTGTGAACGCTCATTCAAACTCTGGTGCGGACCAAACGAGTGAGCCTTGGTCCACTTGAAAACTGGGGGTCTCGGTTCACTTGCAAGTGAACCCTGGTGCGGTTCGCTTACAGTGGGAGATGCAAACGGACTATCCAGTGAACCAAAGAGAGGAAGTGATGTATCGCAGTTGCTTGTGGCTACCCATGATGGATGGATGAGCCGGGTTTTCTTCTTCCTCTCATTTTTTTTTCTTCCCCATGCGAGCAGCTGTTGTAACAGTGTGATGTTGTCCAGGCGCAGTGTGAAAGTGAACCAAACCAAATGAAAGTGTGAAATTTTTAGGCATTCCCAGCCCAATTGAGTCCCCTGGACTATCCTGGTGTGAATGTGCCCTTACAGTAGCTGCTTTCCCAGGACTACACCTAGTTTTTATCAGATTTCTATCGATCTGTGAAGAACTGTGCTTCCTTGTGTTGGACACGAGACATCACCCGTATATTTATGGATCTACAGACACCGTTCACATTTGTAAGAGGAAACAAGGAGTAACACTGCAGGAAACATGACTGAGACAGACAGGCATTGAGGTTTGATTGCATTAAAATGGATTGCATAATTATTTGTTTGCATTCAGTGGGCCTGATACTGTGTGTGTGAAGGTGGTATTAAAGTTGTTACACACTCGATCACCTATATTACGGCAGCCTGTAAAAATACTGCAAACATTCAACATGATTCTTTAATGTCTGAGTGGGAATCAGAGCTGCTGCTGTTACTTGGCGTGCAGAAGCAGCTACAGACTCCTCACACTGTGTTCCTTTATTTCCACCGCCGCGCGCACCCCAGCGCCTGCACACGGGCACGCGCGTAACGGAGGCGAGCGGGGGAAGCGCGGCTGAGAATCTGAGTGCCCGTGAGAGCCGGTTAAGATACCAACCAACCAACCAACCAACCAACCAACTCCTGAAATGGGTGGGGGGGATAATGCCCCCTTTGATGCTGCATTCACGTGCTGCTCGTAAATCTCCGCATCCTACTTTGCAAACTGAAAACATGTGTGTTTTACTTGGCGGAGCCTTTAAGCGCACATGGCTGACAGCTGATGGTAAAATGGATTTTGGAATAGAGCTGCTTTGTGGCAGAACAATGATGAAGGACATGTTTATTTAAGAGTTCCCCCAGTGTGTTTGTAAAGATGCACACAGTTCGCATCACCTCCAACTCCACTCCTCGCTGCTTCCCTCGTGTAAAGGCGCACTTGTCAGAATTAAGAGGCGGGTCCTAACCAGCGTCACACAGCTCTCCTGCTCATCTGAGAGTAGGCAGGCCGGTGTTTTTCCACTGCCTCGGATGTCTCATGTCCCCCCGTTTTGAGAGACAAAGGTCAGAAAGAGAGGCTTATAAACAGGCTAAAATACAGGCTACCGACGCGTCCAACCCTCAGTCGCTCTCACGGACACAGGAGGACACGGACAAGACGAAACGGACAAGGGACCACGCTCAAAGGACATTAAAAGGACAAAATACACACTATCTTACATCAACACATCAGGTAAGAGGAATTAACATCCTCATTGCTCACCTTTAAAACACAACTGTGCTGCTGTGTGATTTTATCACCATTTTTATTCTAATTCTGATTTAATTGCATTTATTCGTCTTGTGTCTGAGTGAGATTTTTTTTTTTCCTGCAAATCAAGAGCAGCAATTAAGAGTTTCTGTGCTGTTTGTGTGTGGAAATAAATTAGAGGAGTGTTTTCTTGTATTTTTGGTGTTTTTTAGAGGTGCTGGTGTGAATGCAGGTGGTGGAGCTGCGATGCAGATTTGGATACAGGCTGTTCTCTGTGTGCACTGCTGGATTTCTTAACAGCTTTAAATGCAACCTGAGTTTTTTTTCCATGTCTTCTCCGTGCGTGAGGTGCGCACTGTTTCATACACGCGGCCGTCAAACGCATTTATGGGAGATTTTATTTATCATTTATTAAGTTTTATTTATTTTCCTTTATGTGAAGGATGTCGAGCAGTCTATTTTTTAACACTTAAACGCTCCCACAGTCTTTTTCTCTTTTCCACATCTTTAACATGTTTATTTGTTGACATTCACGCATAAATAAATAGTCATGTTGTTTGTTTTTAGACTCAATTTTAAGCGTGTTTAATTCCGTTATTGGACAACAGCAAAAAAAGGGAAGTGAGGCGCTCGGTGCGCTGAGAAGGCGGAGATGCTCTTCAGTCGCACGTTGCACATCGTGCGCTGTTTCTCCTCAGCACGAGCCTCCTCTCGCTCTCGCTCTCGCGCACTCCCCCCCCCCCCCTCCTCTCTGAATCCAGCCTGTCTCTCATAGTCTCTCTACCTTTGTCTCGTTTCCTCTTTCCCCCTCTCCCTCACCCTTTATATCGCTTAGTTTTTTGCTGATCAGCCTCGTGACAGTGAAGCAGAGATTTTGTTTTCATGCAGAAAAAAAGCAGCCTTGTATATTTTTGGATGATTTTGCAAATATGCCTTGTTGACATGTTTTCAACATCTGGTGCACCTTAAATGTCAAATGCATGCAGAAGCATCATTCTTTGAATATCTGCACACAGTTTCGATTTGTATTAATAATGATGGGTGCTGTACTGGGTCTTTATTTTTGGGTCTTGATAGTAGTGAACCTTGAGTTTATTTGTGGCTGTTGTAATGGCTGAAAGAGAGGAGGGTTTAATGAGGGCTGCAAAGTTTCTTTGGTAGGGTTGGGTTGCGATTACAGTTAGCTGGGTCAATTTTGAATCTGTTGCAACAGTGGAAAATTACTCGGAGTTGTTAAGGCTCAAAGTCTAACAAACAGATTGATTTTTTTTTTTTTTTTTCCAGTTAGCAAAGAGCAGCATCCAAAACATTTAGGAAGCCAGGGATTGATGTGAAATCAGCATTGCAAAACTTGAGGTTTTATTTGTAAAGTCATGTAAACCATCAAGATTTAATAGAGATAAAAGGTGCTGTGTGGAACTCTGGAGAAACATGGTCGATTGCCAAGTCTCATTTCCAGCTTGTCAAACACCGTCACTTTCAGTTGGTGGCTCGGTGCAGACCTGGGAATGAGACTCAACAATCAGCTATCTTTTCCCATAGTTTACTTTCAAGTCGAAATAGTTTCAACAAGATGTTCTAAAACTGAATTCAAAACAGTGCTATCGAACTCCGACCCTATAGTTTTGAGGATGACCATGTTTGGTGTCACAGTATATGCTCTACAAGGTCAGGCTGATATGGGTGTTTAAAGGATCGCACTGCTGGCAGGATGAAAAAGTCCCTGAAGCAGCATTCAGATCACCACGGGTCAACAAATTTTTCCCTGAAACCCAAAGTAGCAAAGTTTTTGTTGGTTGGCAGCACTTTACAATGTGGTGACCGGCCACACTTAGTCAGCATGTGAGGGAAATGTAGAGGGCGGCAGGAGAAAACAAAGTGTAACATCACATTTTTGGGACTGGTTCATTACAGCTGTGCGGTTGGGGTGGAACCACCATTGTTTTCCAGCTGAATCGGCTGATAAACTGGTTTAGTGGGCTCATTTTGGCAACTAGCTCAGTCCATAGAGACCTGGGTTGGGAACTGGAGGGTTGCTGGCTCAAGTCCCTGCATGGACCAAATAGGGAGTGTGGACTGGTGGCTGGAGAGGTGCCAGTTCACCTTCTGGGCACTGCCGAGGTGCCAATAAGCAAGGCACCGAAACCACAAGTGACATCTCTCCATTTAATGCATGTGTAGGTCCTGTTTGTGCAGGTGTGTATATTTCGGGCCTGTGTGGCTTTGGGGATTAATTAAGTATATCGTCTTCATCTACAACACAAAACTGTGTGTGTGTGTGTGTGTGTGCGCGTGCGTGTGTGTGCACACATGCAAGAGCTCCTGGCCCTGAGTTTAATCTAATCTTGTCTGGTGTAAATTTGTCATCGAGCTGATGTGCGGCACTCTTCTGAATCTGCCACTATAAGTTAGGGCTGCACAGTTAAAAGTAAAATGTGTCACAGCATACTTTTAAAAATAAAGCCATGTGTTACTACAGAGATGCCGCAGCCCACAGATCATATTCCAGATGCAAGGGATTACAAATATTTGGTACAGCAGAAATCATGTTAGTATCAGTGAAAATTAAATGCAACAATTACTGTTACCGCTAAAGTTGCGATTCATATGGTAGTATCTGTCAAAAGAATCACAACATTAATTAATTTATTAATTTATTTTCAAGTCATGCAGCCCTGCTGTGAGTTCAGGATCAGATCAGAACTCTTGCGTCCAGACACACACCTCAGGGTTGGCTGTGTCTTTGTGTCCTGTTGTGTGCGTCTCTTAGTGAGTCAGCATCTGAACAGGTTAAGTTCCCGTATGTCCGCGCTCCAGGTTGAGCTCAAATTAGTGCTGTGACTTGTGATGAATAAGTGATCAATTCTGTGTTTTAAACACCATAAAACACTTATACTTCATGATTTATTAATCCTAAACTCCATTATATATATATTTTTAATGGAGTTTAGCTTGTGTAGGAGACGCACTTTCTCTTGGTGCTCAGCCAACACACCCAGTTCTTCACCTGATTATGAAAGAAGCATCACTTGAACACGAGAGTCATGTTTATACCTGCAAATTAAACAGCGTTCATGGACTGGATGGATTTGACAGTTATGACAAATGGACATTTATTTAAGTGGAACTGTACTGGGCTTCTGTTGTTTTTGAGTAACTGCTGACACACTGCTGTTGTCTCCTCCGTCCTGCCAGTCTTGTCACTGAAAGCTACTGTAATAACTGCAGGTGTGTTTGCTTTCAGATCATTTAAATCATTAGCCCAAGATTAGTAAAACGTGTGTTTGTGTCAGTGAAATTCTTAGCCACAAGCACATCACCATTTCCAGAGCTGTTTCTACAAATGGAAACTGAGGGAGAGCCTCCAGTGACACAGTGAATAAAACCATCACTAGTCCCAGTGAAGGAGTCGCTATCAGACTTACAGTATATGACCGTGTGTCCTTGACTTCAGCTCTCGTTGAACGGCCATTGCTACTGTACCTATTAACCAGCATGAACCACTAACCCACATACAGCTGCCCCTTTAATCTTGTACGATTTTATCTAATTGTGCTGTAGTGTGAACAGATAATAATCGTGGTCAGCAGCTTTGACAGACTTCATTTACCTTGCAGCTGAAGGTGAAAACTGTAAGTATGTTGATTTACAGCCGGCTCTCACTGGAGGTTCAGGCTTAATGTTATTAAAAGGACTGTAAAGCGCACATCTTTATACAGCATGATGGAAGTCAGTCACTCTGATGGAAGGTCAATGACGGACTGTAATAGACCACCGCCACCTTGTGGCTGTCAGACCAACGGTTTATTGATAAGTTGGAAGAACTCCGCATTAAAAATGGATCAGCAGAATTACCAGGAATGAAGCAAGCAAAGCAACGCTCCATGACAACTGAGCTAACTCAGCCAACAGCATGCTGGGACAGGTCGCCGTCCATCGCCTGCTACGGTACATTCAAGACCAGATGAAGAGAGGTGGAGGGACCGGAGATGAGACATTGTAGCAAACTCAAAACATTTCAAGAATCAGCGATGTGACATTCAGAATCAACGCTTATGTTCCCTGGATTCGCCGGGCTTTGACTTCATTGTGGTCATAAAATGTCCGTTTGAGCTTTTGCACCCAAATGACACGTTTACTCCAGCATTGTCTGAAAAGTTGTTTGGATGAGCAGTTCTTGAAAATGCTACTAGAAGCAATGCTGGAGGCCAAGCAAATAGGCAAGGCAAGAGTGTCAGAAAATAGCAATAATGTCACCAGTGGTGTAGTGGAAGTTGATGAGGTGGGTGTACTACTAGGTAGATAGGTAGGTTACCAATGAGGAAGTGGGCATACTCTCCTATATATTGCAATGGCTGTTTTGCTGATAGGTGGGTATACTGTCACTGGATAGAAAAAGAAGTGGGTATACCCCGTATACCTGAGTATACCCTCCACTACACCACTGATGTTCATCACTGTTTTGACAAGCCAGAGGGGACCTACTCACAACAAATGGCTTGTTTTGTCTGACTTACAGTCTAAAACCCAAATATGTTCAGTTTACCATTACATAAGGTAACAAAAGGTAGAGAGCTGAGAAGCTGGAACAGTGAATGTTTGGTATCAACCAATCTTTTCACGTCTAATTCCGATTACTGTTAAAGTACTATAATCAAAATCTTCTAGCAGCTATAGGCTGAAACACAGTGTTTGTTTACAATAACTTCCAGGTAGAAAACCTCCGGGTAACGTACATAAAATGAAACGGTGCTGACCAAATGCTGCTTCAGTTAGTTTTTAGCCAACAATTCCACCTAAAAAAAACACTAACAGTTTAAGTGGACGCTACATTTAGAATATTTTCACTGCTTCACCTTGCTGTCAGAAGGCCCTTTGAGATGGGGAGACTGGAGCCATTATCTCAAAGTCACCACACCTCGTGCTAAAATGCATTTTGCTGCAGCCCCGCCCACAGTACATTGCTTTGCTTCCATGCTGGT